GGTTCAACTTACAAATGAACATTTTCGAACTTTAAAAACAACCAGACCTTAAGGTGGCGCGACATCTTGCCAGATCAAACCCGCGAGGATAGGCTGACCAAATGAGGTAAAACAAGAAAAAACCAAATCATGAATAAAAACTGCTTACTAAATAATTTTACTAATGAACAAAACATGGTAAATTTACGGCACCGCTGAGCTACAGTATTTCATGACAAAACATCGTTACTGGTTTAGCATCATGCCTTTTTTTTTTATAAAATTGCAAAACATGCCGTTAAACACAACATCCATTGTTTTTGTAATTTGGTCTGTGTCTCGTTATCTAGCGTCTTAGGCTAGAGACCATGCTAGAGCTTCATATGTGACCAAGGGTCTTACGGTTGTGGTTTATAACAGGTATGCCATTTTGGGATGGGATCGCCAATTTTTACTCCATATTTTGTACTGAAATTTTATATGACTGAGACTTTTTAAATTAACAAACAAGTTTTAGTCATATTATACAAAAACCGAAACAACACAAGCAAATATTTAACTTTCCTTCTTTTTATATGTCTTCCGCAAATAATAATTAATTATTGCTTTTTCAGTTTGTCAGTCTGGTACTAGGTTTAAATTTATCATTCCTTGAAGATTGTTTAGGCTTCCAGCCGTGTGACCTATAAACGATCGATTGAAAATTAAGGTTTTGTGTAAGAGTATGAGAAAGAAGGCGAGAAAAAGAGAAAGAAAAAGTGATGTTGGGANAGAGAGAGAGAGAGAGAGAGAGAGAGAGAGAGAGAGAGAGAGAGAGAGAGAGAGAGAGAGAGAGAGAGAGTATTTAGTTTATTTACCGTTCTTTGGTGAACCACCTTAAAAATCTTGCCTTATTGTTGTTGAATAAACCGTTTTTCTACCATTTACTTCTGGCAACTAAACAAATTTAAAAAGCAAAAAAAATATGATACATTTATCACTATAACAGATACATATTTCAGAATCTTCCACCTAAATATCCAGCCCATGTGTTTAAAAAATACCGTGTATTGCGGTTTGCAAGATTCATTTATGATCAATTGTTGCCCTTCATAAATCATGACCGCTCACGACCCACTAGTTGCTCAGGGGTGAAACGCACCCAGTAGCTACTACCCTCTAGCGTCGGTTATGAAACGCCAGTTGGAACCAATAGATGGCAGTCATGTTCACTTTAGAACCGTCCATGTATATATATCGTGTATAAAATAAAATGAACACTAAATGATAAATGTTTATAAAGTTGAGTATAACATTAAAAGAAACGTTGCGAGATATTTGTTGGAGAACAATTATGTGCTTTATTGTACAGAAGATAGAGAAGTAGCAGACAGTTCACATTGCATTTCTATTAAAAAAAGAACCATTATAATTGGAAAAATTTTGTTTTTTCCGCAACTTAAAATGTTGAACAAAACTACATTTTTCAATATTTCAATGGGTTGTTGGCGGATTGAGTTTTCTGCTGACTGCATAGTAGTTTGTTCATAACGTGATGTAGCAATATCTTACTAATTCATCTATTTTTACCTTTTTTTTTATACTTGCCACGTGAGAGTTGCAGTTCGTTAAAAAATATTGATATCGACGAGACCTGTTGTTTAAGTTGTAATTTCATTAGACTCCTTTTCAAACAAGTTTTCAATTTTCCAATGTTCATTGTTTTTCCTATTTTGAGTTATTCGTTCCGGTTTTCAACTCTCAAACTGTAGTTTTTACACCTTGTTCTAAGAGCACCGCAAAGCATAAGAATTATGCTTATTAAAATAATTCAAATTTCCTCAAGTGTAGTCATTCCTTATTTCCTTTTATTTTATTATAATTTCTTGAACGTTTCAACGAATGGTCAGCCTGGCATTACAGCTGTGGCGTCAACTAAACTTAATAAAGTAATAAAATCATTTCCTCATGGAGCAGCAGATTCTTTCGACTGTAATGAATATTTAAGGAAATTTTTGCAGTTCTGTCTATTTATGAAAAGTGTCTCGATGGCTGCATCAAAAAGAAAGAGATTTTTTTGCAATTTAATCTGTCCATTCCTTGGTCTTTAGTGTATTTTTTGCCCGCTTTTTCATTAATTTTTTTACACAAGAGAGAGCCCCATGAAAAGGCAAATTTTTTGTCATCTAAGCACAAACCTTTTATAGTACCAGTACACCGACGACACCAAGAAAAACTGATACAACTGGAAAAAAACTTGGGCAAACTGGATGTTAATTAATTGTTCAGACCAACATTTCGCAATTATCACATCAAAAACTGACAAAGGCCTTTAATTTATTGTCAAAAACGTGCCAGTTTCTTTTGTGCTGAGTAATTTCTCACACTCACATATATTTTTGGAACGATTTCATACCAGAGGTGAGCCCTACCGTGAAGCCGAAAATAGAAAAATAACCTCATTTAAATGATAACATATTAATTTTATTTAATGGTACCCATTTCCCAATGGACAATGATACCTTCAACACGCTACTTGATTTATACGGAATATGCTTTTTCCTAGATCTCACGATTCCCCTAAGTTTTCCTGCATATAAGATGGACAAATCAAGAATGGCTTTGTATTAAGCTATTAAGGCTTAATTATCCCTAAGTATATGAATCAAGACCAAAATATTACATTACTAAATAGTCAAATTTATTTTATCACTCATTTCTAAATTAATACAATATTTTTCGTTCGGTAAACGGATTTATAAACTCTAAATTTGGATTTTTATAATTCACGCTAATTGATTTACGTAACTTGAAATAAAACATAAAATCTTTAATTTTTCACTAATTTTAAAAATATTTAATTCATGTTCTAGCGGGGTTGTATGATTAAAAAAAAAATAGAGTTTGCATAATCAAAATATTTTTGTCATAAAAAATACGATCCTAAAGAGAAACTGACCGTCAAAGTACGGGTGAACGACGTAAACCCGCATTACCAGCCGATAAAAGACCGTTATATAGGCTGCCCGAAATAAAAATTAGGGACTTTTATCAAACAGTTTTGTAAAACTATTAGCGTGAATTACATAATGTTTGGAATAATCAATCAATTTACAGAACGAAAAAATTTACAGCCGTATTGAAACGGGAAGTTAAATAAATTTGGATCGTTGTGCCTACAGAAGGTATACATATTTAGCCATAAGGGCAGGAATATGTATGACATGTTTTCTAAATTGTCTAACCTCTCCTTTCTCTATATAGTTGAAATAAAATATTAAATATGATAATTATAGTTTCGTAGAATTAAATTATTTAGAGTTAAATTAACATTAAATTAAATTAAGTTCGGATTTAGCTAAAAGAGCTTAAACTTAAAGCTTAATTAATTAAGGTTTTTTTATCCCAACTAAAAACCTTAATTGAATGATATTAATTGGTCAAACGGGCCACGAAGAATAGTGAACTTAAAGCTTAAGTTAAAAGTTAGATGAATAAAAGAAATGTTACACAGATATGTGTGGTGATTAGTGACCGTTAATCGATAATTATTCAGAAATCCCGCATCTGATTCATCTCACTGTAGACCCACTGTGGGATATCTATATATCTAAGTATATTTATGTAATATAAATTATCTGTGTAACTATTCAGAAATCGTGAGATGTGGTATGGTGTGATGTAGGTTTCAGAAAAACATTTTCTTTATCGTGCCAACGTTTCGATCTTTATTGAGATCATATTCAGGGCCTGGGATTTACAAACATTGTTTACATTTAACAAATACATTTAGGATGTCGAAAAGTGAATTTATACAATGCAAAATGTATTTTTTATTCACTAATTACGTGGTCCGCTTGACCAATTAATATTTTACAATTAATTAAGTTTTTTTAGTTGAGATAAAAAAGTCAATGGCACGAGCGGGATTCAGAGATTGAGATGAGAAGTTAGTGTCGGAGTGGATCGAGGTCACGATAGCTCAAATGGTAGAGCAGCGGCGTATCTAGCCGAAGCTCGTGGGTTCGAATCCCGCTCGTGCCATTGACTTTTTTATCTCAACTAAAAAACTTTAATTAATTGTAATATATTTTTTATATTGAATCAAAGTATTTCTACTCACTCACGCAAGAATGGCACAATTACACAGAAGACAAACATTTTGAGTGAGTAGAAATACTTTGATTGAATATAAAAAATATATGTTGCATTGTATAAATTCACTTTTCCACATCCTAAATGTATTTGTTAAGTGTAAACAATGTTTGTAAATCCCAGGCCCTGAAGATGGTCTCAATAAAGATCGAAACGTTGGCACGATAAAGAAAATGTTTTTCTGAAACCTACATCACACCATACCACATCTCACGATTTCTGAATAGTTACACAGATAATTTATATTACATAAATATACTTAGATATATAGATATCCCACAGTGGGTCTACAGTGAGATGAACCTGTTTGGTCTTTCCAGGACATTTTGACCTACTATCCGAGCTGTTTTTTTTTATCAGACGCCTTTCGGTGTTTCGCCTTCTTCAATGGTGGGTCTATAACCAACAGAGCGAAGATAATTAGGTAAGAGATCGTAAAATAAGGAAGATTAAGTAAAATAACGAGATCTGCTTTTTAGCCATTCATATTTTTACCTTAATTTTCCATTTTTGTCCTACTTAATGTTAAAGGATCTACCCCAAAACAATTAATTTTAAAATTTTGTATTTTTCACTCATACCACACAACAACAACAATAAAACTGATTCCGCAGAATGAAAAACAAGAGGCGAGTGGTACCCACGTTAAGTTACTAGTTTAGTTTATTCTTCCGATATGAGTTTAGAATAAACGATATTTAATCTGAGGATGCATGGGGTCGGGTAGTCGTTAATAGAAAAAAAAATTAAATTAATAATAAAAAATGAGCAATGGCTTAGCATAAATAAATTCAAAATTAATAACAATAAAGACCCGACTGGTACGGAACAAGGTGCATTAAGGGTAAACAATTGTCACAACATCCCTCGGGGGGTGGGGGTTGAACAATAATGTAAATTTAAGAGGGTTCCAAGGGTGGGAGCAAGGGTTGAAGAGTGGGGAGCGGGTCGGTCTCTGTCCAAGCGCGCCGAGGCATCATCAGTCGAACGAAATGCCGCTTCGGTGGAGGATGCCGACTGATGATGAGGCCTCCGACCTCTACAGACGCATCGACCAACTCATCGCAGATCTTTTCAACCTGATACGATCCATCCTTCTCGGTCCGCCGGCTATCCAGCAGAACGGTGAGTAAATAATGATACTTCCATCGAAAAAACCTGCAGAAAAGCTTACTAATTTTATCTTACAAAAAAGACAACTTTATATATAAAAGTTCCGAAATCTTAAAAATATAGTGTTAAATTCGATTAAATATAAAAAAAAATATTTTACGTCGTCAAAGTTTAACTTCAAAATATTCCGCGAAATGTTATCTTTCTCGACACTGATTAAACTAATGCTTCAAAAAATAAACAAAAGTTATTGTTAGATGATTTACCATACCAACGATAACGTAAACAGGCAGAGAAAAAAAGTTTATTCGACCTTCAAAATAGACGTTGAAGGAAATGTTCTATTTTTCGCATTTTTGAATAATACATATGTTGTACTATGCTGAAAATATAATAATTTCTCCTAGGAAAAAAATCATCTCTTCAATCAGAGAACAGATTTACCACGATGAGTCAAGTTGTCCAGTTTGTCCTTTCAATTTTCGCGCAAGTAAAGAAATTTTATTATTAATTATTGTTGTTGTTTTAAGAGAAAAATTAAATTAATTGCAAAGAAATTGCCAAAAACAGTTTATTTACTAAACGGAACAAAATATAATAAAACAAAACCTAAACAGACTAGTAAAACTTGTCATTTTGTCACGATTATATCAACGACGTATGGTGTTATCAATAGATTATAATTTTTGGGTCAATGAATTAATGTATGCCATAATAATATAATAATATTTATCGCAGGTATTTTGTTTTATTATTTTTTTTCAATAGATATTTCCGTCTTGCACTCTTTCTTTTCTGTTTTGTTATCATTATTAATACAACATTACGTTTTATCCTTTCATTGTGTCTTTATCATGTTTTATTTATTTATTTGTATTTATTTATTTGTCTAACCAGTCGTATTTCTATGGGTTCGTATGTTCATATTTTTCTGTCTGTTTTGCGGTTTTTTAAAAATAAATTATGATTATATTATTTTTTTCTCTAACAGATTCTTACTAATTAATCTTTTATCCTAATAATGACTTATTTTTTAAATTGTTTAATTAGTTAATTAATATTTATTAGTTTTCACACAGCTTAATAAAGTTTAACTGTTGGCAATTGGGCAACCTTGAGGTTATTTTTATTTCTGTATTTTTCTGAGGTTGATATGAAATTGATAAAAGATTTTATGCGATACATATTGAATATTACCTCGTAAAATTTTATGTTTTGATTATTTATAAATCAAATTTAATTGGTCAAGGGACCACGAAATTAGGGAATTATTTATAAATTAAAAACAAATGGGTTAAACTATTGTCATCAATTTGTTCGTTGTGTGGTTTATCTTGAGGTATGCTTTGTAAAATAAAGTGTATTTTGGCCCACAAATTGTCTTTAAGAAAAGATAAAAGAAAATTTGCAAAGATAGGCTGATCAAAACGATCGACAACGCCCCTCGAAAAAACCAGCGCAAAAATGTTTTTCTTTGAAATTTTTATTTTTATTTTCTATATAGATTTCAATAAAGAATTTGTATTTGTTTTAGATGAAAATCAGGAGAATGCGGAAGGTCGTAACGTGCCAGACCTCCTCGCGAACATATCCTCCGGGACGAGTAAGTATTCGATCGTCTCTTTTTCACGTACCTTCCTCACGAGCTGACTCCAACCGATTTTTAGTCTTTATGGGAATCACGTTGCGTTTCAGAAACGGACGACCCCGGAGAGCCGCCTCCTCCTCCGCCGGCCAGATAGCGAAGAAACGCTTCCTGTTGGACTTTGGTTTCCGGCTTAGCCTGAGGATCGACCTGTTCAACTAGTTCCCAGTCGGCCTCGTTCAGTATTCACACGATGATCTCACTAGTCATAGGTACTTAACAGTCATCAAAGCGACCATGTGATGATTCTCTTCTATTTGTAAACGGTGTTGTATTATCTCGATGTTGAGTCAATGTGCTTTTGTAAAAACCAAATGTGCCGTCACTGTCAATAACCCTTATTTTTATATAATTTTCTTATTATAGTTATTAGAAAACCAATTAGTTTATAAGATATTTTTCTTTAACGTAAAAAAAAAAACTATGTACAATCTTTTTATCTAGCAAGTAAGCGTGTGTGACAAAGAAAGAAATTTAGATTTTAGTAGGACGAGGAGAAGATTGAAAAAAAATTGATTTTTGTATTACCATTGGTCTTTCAATTGAAACAATGTGTTCTATTTATACATTTTTGTAATATATAATTAATAGTAATAAACAAAAGAAGCGTTTTTCCAAATGTAGTTTATTTTACCTTTCAAATCCTTCCTGATCACTCAGAGTGTTCAAAAATATTTTTATTATTCGGAGATCGTGAGATGCGGTCTGGTGTGATGTAGGCTTTAGAAAAAAATTTTCTTTGCCGTGCCAACGTTTCGATCTTTATTGAGATCATCTTCAGGGCCTGGGATTTACAAACATTGTTTGAATTTTGAATACATGTAGGATGTGAAAAAAATTATGAATTTATACAATGCTAGAAACTTTTAAATAAAAAATTAACTTATACAATGCTAGAAAATATTAGATTTAAAAAAAGAGTGAATTCATACAATGCTAGAAATTTTTAAATAAAAAAATGAATTTATACATACAATGCTAGAAAATTTTAGATTTCATAAACGAATGAATTTATACAGTGCGAGAAAATTTTAAATGAAAAAAGGAATTTATACAATGCTAGACAATTTTAGAACTAAAAAAAAGAATGAATTTATACAATGCTAGAAAATTTTATATTTAAAAAAAGAATGAATTTGTACAATGCTAGAAAATTTTAAATTAAAAAAAGAATGAATTTATGCAATGCTAGAAAGTTTTAAATAAAAAAATAAATTTATACAATGCTAGAAAATCTAAAAAAATTAAAAATAAATTTATACAATGCTAGAAAATTTTAGATTTCAAAAATGAATGAATGATAGAAAATTTTAAATAAAAGAATGAATTTATACAATGCTAGAAAATTTTAGATTAAAAAAAAAGAATGAATTTACACAATGCTAGAAAATTTTAAATAAAAAAATGAATTATACATTGCAAAACAATTTTAGATTCAATCAAGGAATGAATTTATACAATGCTAGAAAATTTTAAATAAAAAATGAATTTATACAATGCTAGAAAATTTTTGATTCAATCAAAGTATTCGTACTCACTTCAAAGTGTTTGTTTTCCGTGTAGACGTGTCAATTCTCGCGAGTCGTGTTGAGAGTACTATTTTTATTAAGTGACACAAGTAAAAATAAATGTAAGAAAACGTAAGGAATTGATTATTAAAAAAAAATCGTTTTGATTACATAAATAATAGAAAGTTCTGGCATTATATTTTTAAGATCAGAAAAAAAGGAAAACATGGTAAATATGAACAATTAAATAATTGTAGAACATATCTAAGTCGTTTTTGACAATTTCCTACTTTCCAAAACAGAGACGTTACATCGAATAATTTATATAAGCTCGGAAAACCGCGAGAATCACCCGCTCCGGTGGTTTGGTGGTCTGGGGTCAGAATTCGGTCTTATCCGTACCACCGCCGAAGTTAGGCCCAGGGGTTATGAACAACTGGGTCACTTCAGCCCCTAAGTCATAAAGTTTTAATAATAAGCCCTCACACTCCCTTACTCATTCTTAAATAAATTATTTCTTATTTATATTACCTTTCTCTCAAGTAGTATGATGGAGTATTCGATATTCCTTCATCACCGTTTACACATATAAGCTAAATAGTTTAATTGTAGTTCGATTGGGTACTGATATTCCACCATCGACGCTCAACACATATTCACGCTTGTAAATACCCATGTTTCTTACAAAATCGGATTCTTATTCACTCTACCTTAAGAGCCAAGGAATGACACCCAACGGAGTTTACAATAAACAGAAATAAAGAGAGAGATCGTTAGATAGATATATAGATAAAGAGAGAGAGAGAGAGAGAGAGAGAGAGAGAGAGAGAGAGAAAGAAAGAAAATAAATAAAGAAACGAACACACACATAAATATATAATTTATAATAATGCAATATAATATCTACGTATAATTTAATGCTGTAACACACTATAGCCTTAACTTCAATACTGGATGCTCTCAGCCGATTTTGGGAAAAAAAGACAATGCAATTTCATAATAATTTTGTCAATTAAAAAAAAAAACATGTTGCATTTTTACTTCTATTGACTTAATGTTTTATTTTTATGTGTGGTGATTAGTGACCGTTAATCGATAATTATTCAGAAATCGTGAGATGCGGTCTGGTGTGATGTAGGTTTCAGAAAAACACAACAGATAAAGAAAATGTTTTTCTGAAACGTACATCACACCAGACCGCATCTCACGATTTCTGAATAATTATAGTTTTATTTTTACTTGTTCTAGCTTTAACCAATTCATTACCAAAAGAAGAAACATTCAACTTGCGAACTATGTCCCGAGCCATTTCATAATGGAAAATGTGTATGGGAAGTACCTTTTTTCTAACAACTGAATTTTCAATTTCAGTTTATGACTGAAAATCAAATTAACCCTTTTTAATATCAAATTAAACTTGTTTGATTTCAAATTCACCTTTTTTAACTGCAAATCAACTTGCTTTAATTTCAAGTTTATCCTTTTTAATTTCCGATTTTTATTTTCTATTAACTATTATTTTTAAACTAATTAACTATTCTTTTTTTAAATAAAAAATAGAGCAAATTCTGTATTGAATAAAAATTGATTGCAATTGACAAAAATCCGGAAAATAGTTTATTTTTATATTTCAATAGACGCCAAAGTACAAATCTGTCGTCCAAAAATATCTGTGAACAGAAACAGGATATTAATATGACCTATTTCGGGTAAAGTAATTTAATTTTGATTAAATATTTAAAATTATGTTTTTGTTTATTATCGAGTTATAATGACAAAATATTTTCCAGAATAATATACGAACAACAAATTTGTGGTCAAACAGTTATAATTCTGTCAATATCGAATCTCTCCTATAAATTGAAATAGGTTACCAAAATAATTTAATTTAAAATAAATGTAATTTATAAAGGGTTTAGGAACGTTTGAGGGTGCGGGATGATAATTCAGAAGGGTGCAGTTTGGCGGTCACTGGTTGCGGACCTTTCTACAACCGACTAGTGGTGCCACTGGTGAGTCTGCCACAAACCAGAAACAAACGGTCGCCAGTTATCACCCCAAGTTTTTTTTTGTACCTAACAGCCCTGATTTATTTCCACTCCTGTCTATCACGGGTTCTAAACAACTTCTTAAATGGTATTTGTAGACAGGGCGAAGGTCATTCCACCCCCACAGAGACGTTTGCTTACCATTTTCATCGAATTTGTCTGTCAATGACAAAATCTCGACGTTGTTACCTTTAAAATGCAAACAAATGATGTGGAGTTCTATGCTCTTAAAATAGGATCGTTTTATTATACAGGGCTTATTTATTGTACGCACCTAAAATCCAGAATGCGTCTAAGGACATTTTTCCGTAAGTAACAGACAATAAACAATGGCAAAAAAAAAAAAAAATGTTACTTAGAACATTTTGAGAATGTGAACGTAGAGTAGAATTTTTTCCCTATGGCAAATCCAACTCTATTTTTCTGGATGTATAGTTTGTCTATTCTACTTTTAATTCCATTAAAAAGTGTTCAAAGAATACCTCACCATCTGGGAACATAAATTTTCTCGATTTTTAAGTCTTCCACTGAAAAATGCTTGAATCTTCTGGATTTGGCTCAATCCCCACGATATTACCACAGTTAAAAAACATCTGGTGAAATGTGCTTCTCTGAGTGTTCACTATAATTTTTGGTTTTAATGTTAGTATTGTTAGGCTGGATTTACTGCGGTATTTTCTCCGGTTTTCCACTTAAAAATGCGTAATTATTATGGAGTCTATCCAATGGCCAAGGTTAAAACAGTCAACAACGTTTAGATTTCGTGTTAAAAATTAGTAATTTCAGAGTGAAACCGAAACCGATAAATAAGCATTAATTGATATAGATTTTATGTCCTAAGTGCAATAAATATGGATCAATTATAAAAGAAACTCATTAACACTTACTTTTTATATCTGCGGTTTTTAGTTATTGACACGTTTTTGGTATAACGCGTACGTGCCCCTGTAAAGTTTTCTGGTTCCTGACTAAAAAAACGTACCTTTTCTACGTGTCTCGGTTACAAAATAATATGTATTCCATTTTGATAGCTCGAAGTTTCTCGCCGGCAAACTGTCTGATTGAGGGTTTTAATCCCACTTCTGATTTTTGTTTCTGAGACCCGGTATATTTAAATAAAATCTATCTATAAAAAAATAATCCTTAGTTTCGTTAAAAGCTAACCACAAATTAATTTAAAGGCTAGAATAAAGCAAAATTTGGTTTTCTATCTACACCCACCAATTCTTGATGGATTTCTCTAAGTGAGTCTTGAAGTTCTATTTTCCATCCCTTGTCTTTAAACAATCATATAATATTCTTTGTATCTTCGAAAGAAAATAGGTAACAAAACTCGATTATTAGGCATTCGGAGAATGTCTTTCTTATGAGCACACATTTTTTTAAAAACAATATTTATTACAATAAGGGTTTTCATTTAAAAATATGTATGACATGTAGGTTTAAATACTAATAATGAAGTGTACACTTAATAGAGTAAAGTAAAAAAAGAAGGCAAGTTTTACGAAGAGTGCAATTTCCATTTACCACAAACTATAAATAAATGCAAGCTTCTCTTATGTAGTATAAATAAATTACAAAAAAGTGATAAAATGACATTTTTTTGTACAGTATCATATAAAAAGGTAAACTTTGCTTAATCAATGAAAAAAATATATTTAGAGAATCAACAGAAAAACAAAGAGTAATCATTGTTCGGTTGATTCTAATAAATATAATAAATAAATAAACACAGTAATAATTGTTTTTAAAGATATCTTAAAAAAAGAAGATTTTTGAAAACGGAGAATTTAAATTTTTGAAATATTAGCAATTTGTTATAATTTTTGCAGGCTTTGATGTGGAACGAATTTCGTCAAAAGTTTGTTTTGTATTCAGGAGGGTAGATTGAGATTTGATGAGTTGAGCGCGATCTTTGAGATTTGATCTGGTTATTTAAACAACAGTCTGAGAAAAGATTTTCTTTGGTTTCGAAATTGGAGGATAATAGAAATCCTACTTTGTAATAAGATTTCCATACTGACAAAAAGTTTCGGCCAATAAAAT